TTTGGGATTTGAAATGTATTATAATAAATGGATATAGCCCTCCATAAAATTACTCTTTATTAAAAAAAAGCTTTGTTATAAATAGCGGTGGTTATTAATGTTTTGTGCTTCTCCTATGGCTTTATATATGTATCTAAATGTTTAACTTTCTGCATTTAATAAATAACTGTAAAATATAAAATAAAAGTTAAATCACAGATGTCGTTAACAACCGACCGAAAATATTTTGACCGTTTTGTATCGTAAATTGTACAGCGCCTCTAGCGGTCACGAGTAGAAGTATAAAATACATATACACAAATATTTTATGCTGTAGCTGCGTTATTTATTACATGCAGAGGGTTAAAGATTTATCTTACATAATTACTAATAAGTAGTACCTACTTACCTATTATAATCCTTTAAGTGCAAACTACAAATTTGCTAACTGTACTAACTAACTATAATATACTAACTATGATAGCCTCTTATCACGTTTTCGTCATATCATTCTTGCGTGGTGGTGGCGAATGCTGCTGAAATAATAGTTTGAGACCACTCAAACTAGTGAATTGACTGGACTATGTGTACCAGAGCACAATTCACTCTTCCCAGAACTTTCGGACTAGAACCAATTTATAAAATTTCATTTCCCAAATTGCTCCTACCGGGTATCGGGACCTCCGCATTCAGCTACCAGTGTAAACTGTTAAGCCACCTTCAAATATAATATGAATATATGAAAGATTAAACGGCAAAAAACTCTGAAGGTACGACCAAAATTATAGTGTCTTGCTGTCTGTATAATATCCTATTCACAATCAGATTCTCGGTCGTGACAAAGCCATAGGAACTGCCTGTTATTAGCTGCAATAGTGCCCACTATCCTCCTACGTCCCAAAACAAACAGATTTAGATTCAGATTTCCTGAAGGTCCTGAGGATGAAAACACCGATTACCAGCAAACATAGTTAAAGTGCATACTCTCAAATAACGCAACTTACCTATAATAGAAAAATACCGCAATCAATTCGTCACTCGGGAGCTACAAATACACACACGGACAGACACCGACCTACTTATAAAACACCCTTCTGTTTTCGTAAAAGTTTGAAAATAATTTTGTCTGTGAAACAAGTTTGTATAATACGTAATGTGTGAGTATGAAGGCACCTTTTCTTTTTAGGAGAAATTCAACATAAAGAGGAAGGATTTCGCTACGGTACAAAATACGGACATTAGCTATTTCAAATCTATCCTGAGCGAAGATCGTGTGGTTACAGATGAAAGTGACGTTTTACCTTTCAATATTGACTGGTTTAAACAATGTCGAGGTATGAACGAAAACGATGGCCTGCATATTAGGTACCCACAATAATATATCTCCTATCTTGGCTGCAAATTTCAAAAAAGTATTCAATTTTCCAGGGCAATCCAAAGTAGTTCTCAAACCAAAAAGTAGTCTGGAAGTATCACAAATTCTGAAATATTGCAATGAGAAATCCTTAGCAGTTTGCCCACAAGGCGGCAACACTGGTGTCTGTGGTGGGAGTGTGCCTATGTTCGATGAAATAATTTTACACTTGGGACTGATGAACAAGATCATTAGCTTGGATGATGTATCAGGTAAAATTATTTTCTGTATCAAAAGGATTAAACCATAGGATATAGGTAATGTTTGGTAAATGTTTAACTGCGTCCGCGGCCGACGGTTACCATGCTGGTCTGCCACGCAGAGGTCCGGGTTCGAATCCCTAGCCGAGAGAAATATTTGTATGGCCTACATTTATTTCTCTCGTGAGTTTAGGTGTAATTTGTGGTTGTCTATGTGAGTGTCCATGACACCTGCGACAAAGGGTTTCCCTAGTGGTGTCTGCGTTATTATTATATTAATGTAATAATATGCCAGACGACTAGACTAATTGGCATCAGGCAATTGGTGGACCCATATTCATGGAACTCACTGTAATATGAATACCTGAGCAACGGAATCCACTCTTCCCAGAATATTCAGACCAGTACCAATTTATAAAATTGCATTTATCAAATTGCTCCTACGAATCGAACCCGGAACCTACGTATCCAGCGCCCAGTGTAAACCGTTAAGCCACTTTCAAATATATGAAAGATTAAACGGCCAAAAGCACAAACAGGATCACCTAGTTTAGAAGGCAAGATAATCTTGTGATTGTATAACTTCGACTTATAAAAAATATTGTAACCAATTTATTAGTTGTGGTATATATACATATAAACAAAACATTATTATTGTTATTAATAAAGTACTTTCAAGGTACGCGGTAGAAAAACTGTTCGCGGTAGTATGGTTGAAAAATAAGGATGTAATTCTTGCACAATTTTCGAAGGTAGTAACGTGTAGGAATTTTTACGCGACAAAGAACTTTTCGACTGAATCTGCATACTCCTTTCCCCACAATAGGATCTCTAGTCTGTGAAGCGGGATGCATACTTGAAACACTAGAGAACCACGTCAAAGAGCACGGCCTGATTATGCCACTTGACTTGGGCAGTAAAGGCTCCTGCCACATAGGTGGTAATGTCAGTACCAACGCCGGAGGACAACGCCTTGTAAAATATGGGAACTTGCATGGATCTGTGCTTGGGCTGGAAGCTGTAAGTATAGACAGTTTATTCCCCATTTAAAATACTAAAACAATACTATTGGGTTTAAAATAACTTCTTTTATAGTGTTTGCTTTTAGGTAAAAGCGAATGGCATAATCGTAGATTGCCTTAAAACACTTAAGAAGGACAATACTGGATATCATCTGAAACACTTGTTTATTGGTTCGGAGGGTACTCTAGGAGTAGTTACGAAAGTTGCAATTCACTGCCCTGTGCTTCCCAAGGCAATTAACGTAGCTTACTTTGGTAAGCTCGATACTTACAATTTTTAATGGTTATATAATGTACGTTTCTGTTCTAAACAAAAACAATTTCTAATTACCGATGTAAATATTTTAGGTGTTAATACATTCGACGAAGTTCTTCAAGTATTTAAAAGAGCGAAGTCGTCACTAGGAGAAATCGTATCTGCATTCGAAATGATGGACAACTATTCTATAAAAACAGTGATTAAAAATATGAATTTAACGTAAGCATACTATAAATCAATTAAATTGGAAGAACACCTAATTTGCTTCAAAGAAAGGTGTAAAATTGTACAAGAAGTATTCATAGAATTTACTTACTGTGTAATTCCAGAAATCCTTTGCCAGATTATCCATTTTACGTGTTGTTAGAGACTCATGGCAGTGACATAGAACACGACACTGAGAAGTTGACGCGGTTCCTTTCCAAAGAAATTGATGAAGGCCAAGTATTAAACGGAATTATCGCTTCAGAAACTGCTAAAATTCAGGTACTTACATAAATATCCGATATCTTCTGAACTAGATGAGGGACTATTTTTAAAATTTTGCTTATATTAAATGTAATTAAATTAAATTAAATTTTTTCTAAAATTCCCACTCCCCCCCCACAAAACACCCTTATAACTTTGAAACGGTGGACCGACTAAGTCTAGTTTTTTGCGAGTAAATGATGGCTTTTAACCTGACTAATAAGATTTCTACAATTCGACCATGGTGACACTGGTATAAGTGACGCCATTTAAAAGTGGGTTACAAATTATAGGCAATATGGAACCTCCGTGAGAATATACCGGCGGCGGGTCTGCGAGATGCAGGCTACCTCTTCACCTCCGACATATCGCTGCCGGCTGCAAACTACTACCAGATAGTGCCAATGCTGCGTGAGAGATTAAGCTCGAAAGTCAAAAGTGTATATGGCTTTGGCCACTTGGGTACGTTGAAAAAATGAATATAAATCTTTCATGACAGATTTTAAACTATAATCCTGAACGAACAAGGGAAAAGTCTAAGGAAAAATTATGTTGACGCAGATTGGTTATTTTTGCCATTCATCGTCGATGGAAACGTTACTATATAGGTATGTGATTATTGATCGACTAGAACAGCTATACTAGAACAGGTACTCAACCTTTTTTTCTTTCGGGCCACATACATATGTTAACTATGTTACTCGGCTGGCAACAATTTTGGGTGATGACTTTTTTTACGACAGTGGGGACCTGGATTTACATTTAATCCCCATGTAATAAATAAAACACAAAACCTAAATATGTATAAAAAACTAAAAAACATACGATGTCAGTGCGTTGTGGCCAGTAATGGGCAAGCGCGTGACCCGGGGATTAAGAGCGGTTACAGCAGGCGGTGCAAACTCGCGTTCGCAACGCGCGATTGCATCGCGACACCATATTACCACCATATACTGCATCGATACAGTCACTTATCGTCGCCTTACTTTCTCAACCCTGTCTTATAAACAGTGATTATTCAGGAGATGGCAAAACTTTATATTTATTTCAAAATTTTTATCAAGGGTAATTTGGGTGCATTACTTTAAGAATAGGTAAAAGCAGTGTGCGAATATGAAAGAAATGCTTCGTTCCCACTAGTCCTATTGAGTACTTCTATTATAGAACTACTGTGACTTTTTTTCCTATTAGTTCTATTGCAATAAATAATAGAACTAGTGGGAAAAATTATTTCCCACTATATTGAGTTAGATCTATTTTTGCCCCGAAAATGATTTTATCCTGAATGTACAGTTGAAAAATGTATATAACTTATACATATAATATTTAGTGAGAGAAATCAGCCTGGAAAATTTGTATATACAATCCATTTTTTGCATTTCAGCGACTCTGTGCTTTAAGATATGAGTTTGAGAAAGTAAGGCGACGGCGACGTTATGTTAAAATCTTAGAAACTCAGTTTTGAAAAGCACTTTCCTAATAATAGTGTTTCGGGCCGCACTTAAATGCTTGGCGATCCGCAGGTTGAGTATGGCTGGAGTAGAATATGGGCAAACCAATTAATTTGAAGTTGTACAAGAGTATAAAATCTGCCGTGCGTATAATATAAACAGCTGGTAAGTTTGAAATACATACAGACTTACTGTCCTTATCGTAAGCACCAGAAATAGGTACCTTTCCCATTTCTTAACGTAATGTGATTACTGTTTCCTCTTAGGCCGGCCAAATACAGTCGGAATATCCCTGAAACAGATATGCCTTATACAGACTAGCCATTATGAGAAAATGTATTGTTTATAGGCGACGGTAACATTCATATAAATGTAGCACTATCAGAATTCAATGAAGAAATGCTATCCTTGATAGAAAACATCATGTATGAAGAAGTTGCTAAGCTCAACGGTTCTATAAGTGCAGAACACGGTGTTGGTTTTTACAAACCAAAATATATACACTACAGCCAAGATGATAGTGCTCTGCAAGTCATGAGGGAATTAAAACAACTTATGGACCCAAATGGAATATTAAACCCTTACAAAGTTCTACCGGAAACCAAGAATTAAGGATTTGAAATTAAAACACTAATATTTATTTAAATGACTTTTATTAAAATATCCATTTATTCTTATAACATTCATAATATCACTGCAACAAAAATACAATGGAATATTACAAAATTGCTTTAAAATAAATAAGTCCAGTATTGCAAATATTATTCAAAAAGTGGTGTTCTGTTAGCACTTACGGCATGTACGTGACTTATATAAATATTTTAGTTGTAGTAACTCTTTTTATTGCTATTTGTTACTCTAGGTATGCGAATATTATCTAGTTGAAACAACGCTATCAGCAATTAGGTTACTGATTAAAATTCCTCTCACACTCAAGGCAACTATCACTCACTTCGTGTGGGCAAATCACATAACAAAGTTTAACGTAAATGTAACAAATTTGGCATTTCAAAGATACAAACGCAAAGTTACTTCTCCTCCAAATGGGGAATTGTATCACAAAACAATTGACGACTTTATGAAATGTACACTGAAAATATATTTGTGCTATTTATTGATAAACAAGCAACTGAAGCATTCTTGATGCTTATTTCAAACTTTAATTATATATGAATAATAATTTCCGAAAACGGATCTAAATGTTAAATCATGTTGTATTGAAATAAAACTAAAAATTGGATAATGACTTCCTACGTGTGTAAAAAAAATGCCGTCGACATGATTGAGTTTTACATTTGCAATAAATACTTCTATGGATTCCACTAACTGTGATTTGCTATATTTTATTCCTATGGCAGTTGTAAAACCAATGCACGTTCGAGTCACGTACAAATTATAACAAAACATTACAGTTAAACATAGAATTGCATTAATAAAATCGATTATTATGTATTTGTAATGAGGATGGAAATATATAAATTTCAATAATAATTATTATAATATTCATAAATTGCATCCAACGTTTAAATTTTTATAACGAAGAAATGAAAATGGCATGTCCCGTTGTCATGACGTAGAGAAAAATAAATGGAGAAATTATGAGATCACTAAATATTATTTTATTTAAGATTATAGAATAGACGAAATGTAAACAAGAAACTAATGGCTCTTAAATATGGCCTTCAATTTCCATGGTGGGCGACAATTATTTACTACAAGTACACGCATAGAACACTAAACATCGCAATATTGCTTCGAATGAGATGGTTGCATAAATCATGGATAACTAAGAGTTAAAAGTCATAGTTATACGTTCTAGCTTATCCCATACTGTATCCTACCTTGTTTACATTTAGTCCACGAAATCTAATATTAACAGCTGTGCACCAGTCAGAAACGTAACTCACTCATGTTATGCGCAACTCTCCCAGATAAATTACAACTGATTTTTATTAAAAAAAATTAAATACTCATGGAACAATTTTCATGAATGATCCTTTACATTTCTGAAAACCACACTGTTTACGTATAAGTAATTATAGCAAAAAAAACTGGGATTTTTTAAAACTTTCTCATGTTTTCGCTCAGATGTTATACGTAAACGCGCTTTATTATTCGTCCTCTTGGAGCAACAGACCAAATATTTAAAAATAAACAAAATATAAAGCGATGTACTAAACATATTTTGTATGGACCTCACTGGAGTCAGCAAGTAAATTATTATAACTAAAGGCTTACATACATACGTTTATAACATCCAAGAATTCAACCACTCTAAAAGAGCACCTTAATATCTAGGTACATTTGTTTCCTTAAGTTGATATAAGTCAGTATCGGAAGCGACTGTCGATAAATGGTAAGTAATACTGACCTGCAAACCTATCGGTCCCCGCTCGCCGTGTAAACTTCGGTCCAAATTTAGCTTGTTAACCTTTCTAGAGTGATTGCAAGTTGGCTGCTTCCCTTCAATAAATCTTTTTATAATTTTATAGAATTTTATACTTTTTTTGTATTTCATCATTGTCCTAAATATGTAATTATAGTAGAAGCAGGCTGGTCTGTCCCCCGCAAGGTGGCGCCGCGCGAGGTTATCGCTTGATCTGGTTCGACATGCGCAGGAACTCGAGGAAGCCAGCCTGCATCTCGGGGTCCATTTCCGTTTCCCACGCGTCGTTCTCCAGTTCGTCCCTATACGAAATTATAGAATTTAGGATAGTTTACTTTTTGACAACCCTAATTAATTTGTGCATACGATAAATCTTACAGAATGTCCTCGTCGAGCGAAGCATTCTTGCCGGTAGGCAAGTTGCTGCGCAGGAAGGCGTGCTCCTCGGCCGTCAGCTGGTTGCCGTCCGCCAGGTAACCTGCGTCGTTGTCCGGCTCACCGTTAGTCACTGTTCAGTTAACAAATTACAGGGGACAGATTAGGTTAGTTTATAGGAAACGATATAGAGGACCTACAAATTTACTCGATTTTTTGACGAGTGATACGTGTCGATCTACAAAAAATAGGAAATCGATCGTCTACTTACACATTTACTTGATTTTGTCATAAATGTCACACACATGCCAATCGTCGAAAAATCGAACAAATTTGTAGGCACCTTAATGCTCGTCGTACAGTCTGTCAGTACAATTGCAAGACGTCCAAGTCCAATCTCTTTTCTCACTCTCGTCGTGTTTCGTCCAGAAGAATGTCGTTTAGAATTTTTGTCAGTCTAGTCAGTTCGCTGGTGATGACAAAGTTTTACATAAGATGTTTAGCAGCAGTAGAGCTCCTCGTGAAAGAGTTTGTCCAGGGTAGTACGAGTACATATAGTAACGAGCATTACTGCGTTCCGGATTTGAAGGGTAAGTTGCTGATGAAGTTACAGGCACATGGGACTTGTCAACTTATGTTTCAGGGTGACGGGCGCAGCGGTAGTGCCCCTCAGATCTTTGCGATTTAAAGCTCTGAGCGGCACTGCACTGTTATGGACAGGCATGTAACTTACTTGACTTGTCCGTCCAGTCACTTGATGTTATAAAAAAATAAAATAAAATAAAAAGAATTACACCCAAACTCAGGAGAGGAATAGATGTAGGCCATACAAATATTTCTCCCGGCCCGGAAATCGAACCTGGGACCTCTGTATGGCAGTCCGGCATGGCAACCGTTCGGCCACGATGTATATATACCTGTGACAAGCTCACCGGTGACGACGCGGCGGCGAGGATCGGGATTCGGTTGCGCGCCGGCCGGCGCGTGCACGTCGTGCAGCGGCAGCGCCTCGGGCTCGGCCATGCCCCAGCGCGCGGCGCGCAGCGACACTACGTTGCGCACGCACGCCATGTGCCCGCGCCGCTTCAAGCGCTCGAACGCCGCGTGCATGCCCGCCGGGCAGTCCGCGTCCAGGGCGATGCCCGACAGCTGCCGGTCAAGGGTGTACGTTATTAGGAGTGACTTGTTTCTAGTACGAGTTCATTGTACTACTAGAATTATAGCTTACTTGTAAACACCGCTATCTTCATTAACTAGCTTAAAAGCTAAATCAATCATGGAGATAACTGAGATTATGTTTTACATGCAAATAGGGTAATGTAATTGTGCTTACAGGTTTTTTCGAAGTGCAGTTTATAATAAAGACACTACGCGCTTACAAAATTTTTCTTGTCGTAGATTTTCTTCCCGATCGAACAAAAATGACAAAAAAAGTCCGTTTTGAGCAAAATGGGACTTGGTGAATTGTACCTTTTAACCGACAATATGTCGTCAGGGTTTTGTAGACAGGGCGACATTTCGAAACATTTTTACGTGAATATGTTTTACATTAAATTCAATTTTAAAATTTAAATAAATATTTTCAAACAGTCATTAAAAACCTAAACATGCTCCATGCTCAAAACTTTTACGTAAAGTCGCTTTCGCCTTTTCAACAAAACTCCGACATTGATATTATATTAAATATAATTATTATTAAAAAAGATTGATCTACGTAATATGCAAATTGAGCTTTGAAGCACTTATGCAACGCATTCAGGTAACGCACACTAGAGTGTATTCTAGACTACCTTTGTATTAATTTCTAAAGCTAAATAATAAAAATAACTTACTTTCAGTAACTGACACACTGCTTTAATGTTGGTTTCGTTGTCCGTGTCAAGAAGGTGAAGTAACACTTTGCAAAGACTCTCACCTAAAGATCTGATACGACCCCCCTGCAAAAATTCAAATGAATGTTCAAATTCTAAGAATCACTAATTGGACACAAATAGTTTCCGATAATCCTGAATATATGTATACCTGATTGTCTTCAAGCTGGGTGTAGATCTCAGCGAGGAACATAGCGAATCCGCGCATGTTCTCCTCGGCGGTCTCGACACCACTGATGATCTTATTCTCTTCAGCGGAGCAGCGCTCCAGCAGGCATGCGCGGAACGTTGATTCTTCCGGCGATCCCACGGAGTCATACATCGAACACAGGCGCGCACCATTGTAACGGAAGTTCGGCTCACCAATGGACTGCCATATACAATCACATATATATATCACGTTAAAAGAATGTATCTCTGACACTTCCAGTTTTTCATATACCATCTGACAAAAGCATTTCTGGACTCAACTAACAAATTGTTGACAATGAGAGTTGTTATCTCCATGGTATGATGGAGTTATCATATATCACAAAAGAGATTTTCAGTCAAATTTGTGAAATTTGGCTAGAATCTACACAAAGAGGCTTGCTATTTTTAGACTTCCTATTTAAATGCTTGCTTTAGATAATATTTTTTACTTGTTTTTTATTACTATAAGCACGCATTTAATACATCCATAAAAGCTATCTGGTGTGTTTTCCATTTGTCATGTAAATACTGAAGTAAATATGAATAATTTCATAAAATGATTGTTTTGAATAACTATTGCTACACATGTTGTGTGTATTATGTTGAGCAAGTTATTTTTTGTAAGCCCATCAATTGCATTATTCATCAATTTTGGTGAAAGTGGGACAAGTGATAATATGTATTCTGTTGTCTATTTTTTTCTCACCTGGTTTACAATGGCTTCAACAAGTGGTCTCGTATAGTTGGCATCCTGTAGCGTGGGGGCAAATGAGTCCACCAATGGACCGCAAAGGGAGTCGAACTTGCCAGGGTCAAATGTTATCTCACACATCACAGTTATCAAGTTGCCGATGTTTTCCTACCAAACAATGAGTTCACATACAAGTTCAAGATTTGGCATATAAAATGTAAAATAAAACAAGAATAGTTACAGAAACTTGTTTAAATTATCACTGATTATGCTTGTGTTTCAGTCCAAATACCTGCTTAACAGAAATTTTAGTCAAAATGTATTTTCAGTTACCAAAAATTATAGATTTAGTCCTATTTAAAATATATTCGACTTCTGTTTAGGATTATTGAAAGCTAGCATTAGTTACTGGCATTTGATAAATGGCACTAATATTTACTTTATATTATTTCACACTTAGATACATACAAAAAAGACAATAATTATGACAAAAAACAAAATACAAATAATTATGGAAATAGTAACTATTTCCAACTTGATTTCCCATATTTGATATTCTGTACTTGTAGGTAACAGGTTAACAGTCATGTTTACTTGCATTGTGGAATTAATTACACACCAAATTATGCTATCCACAATAGAATAAATGAATTTATAATTATAATAAAACCACGAAGAATCTCATTATCAAAATTGTAAACATAACTACTTAACAACATTAAGTTTTTTTAATGTGACGTACCCGTAAGTCCATATTCTCGGCTTCTTCAAGTGCATATGACATGTTGTCAAAGTTATACGGATTTGGATTTTGTGCTTGTCTTAGCCGGTTCTGGACTGAGAACCGATGGGGCCTGTATGGGGCAGGTTCCTGATGGTAAGCTGGCACACTTTGCGGTGTATAATTCCGCGGGAACCACTCCTTAGCCTCAGCCGATAAGTTCGACTTAGGAGCTTCAACTGCAACATTGATAAAACACTAACTACTACATCTATACAAAATTCACAGTAAACTGTCAGGCACTTACTGATCTAAAAATGAAATATATATGTATCGCAAAATAAACGGGGCGTGTTTTATAGCAGACGGCTATATTCTGTCAATCTGCGCCGACGTCATTAGAAATGAAAATTCAAACTTTCACCTGAAGACTTAATAGGAACGCAATATAAAACTGGCCAAGTATGACGACGTCACAGCGTGCCCCGGATTGATACTGTGAAAGTGCAACATTAAGCATCGTGAAACGAACTCTACCTTGCGCATCCTCGGCAGCGATCTTCGGCCGGCGAAGTTCCCGTGGTGGATTTTCGGACTGCGGCCAACCGCGGCCTCTGCCCCTGGACCCCCCGACCTCTCCGTTATTCATTTCACACAGTTAGTCTTCGACAATAACTTCGTATATGGGTTTCTTTGAGAATATTCCATAAACCGCAATGAATTAACACCCGTTCAGGGATAAAACAGCACAATCGTAATTAATCGACACGTAAACAAAGAAAATTACACTTCGATGGCAATTTCACAGCACAACCTCCATGTTTTCGAGCAAACGAGACAGATGATGGCAATGGCAAAGGTGTTTGATAGGACACTTAAATTTTTGTAACATTTGTAACTAGTATAATATTAGCTACTTCCTATAACAGTATTTAATATTTCATACTTGAGTCTATGCACTGGGCGACACGGTGTATTTTATTTGCGCCGAGCGACGACGCGCAGATGATGTTAACGCAATTCGAACGCGATGCAGTCGCAGCCGCAGCGAGTAAACCTTTGCACACATTCACAAATCTAGTGGCGCTGTAAACGCCCGTAATCTGCGTGTATACGCACCGCAGAGGCGCGCGTTGTAGTCGCGCGACCCTAATAAGGGTCGTATTCTAGAACTCTACTCAATGCTAAAGTCAGGACTTGAGTATGATTTAAAGCACTATAAATCATACTCAAGTCCTTGCCATTAGAGTCGTATTTCAAGTGCTTGAAATCATACTCAAGTCCTGACTTGAGCATTGAGTAGAGTTCTGGAATACGACCCTGTTTTATAGTAAATTATAACCATTCGTTTTTGGGTGTTTATTTCGCATGCATTACAGTTCATTACACGAAACGAACGTGTGAAAGGAATTAAAAATCACAATGAAAGTTTGTTTTTTTTAGTGTTAATGGCTTTACCATCTTATTTAGCTGTCTTCAACGTGAAATTCTAAGGGTCGTATTCCAGAACTCTACTCAATGCTCAAGTCAGGATTGCACTGGAAATACGACCCTAATGGCAGGGACTTAAGTGTGATTTCGAGTGCTTTAAACCTTACTCAAATCCTGACTTGAGCATTGAATAGAGTTCTAGAATACGAGCCTCAGTGTAAACTCCAAGTGAAGAGCACGTCAAGCTTGATACTTTGTACTTTGGATCGTTCTTATTTTAAACGGTTGGATTGAATTCTTAAGTGTCAAGCTTGACGTGCTCTTGACCCTGTACATATGTACTACAATAAGCTTTTTGCTGGCAACGCGACGTTTGCGCGCGATTGAATCGATTATGTACTGATACAAACGCAATAATCTGCTTTATGAGGCTCTACGGGGCGCCGTAAACGCGTGTTCGTGAAACGCACGGCGCGTGTCGTCGTCGTCGACGCGTATAAAATACGCCGTGTGCATAGATTCCAAGCACATTATGCTCTAAATGTAATAGTGAATTGAATAAATTAAATTATCACCAAAGCACAATCACGACTTTTCAGTTTATTATATTATTTAATTAACTGTTAAAATAAAACTGAAATAATTTTTCAGTTAATTGATATTTATTTCAATAAAAAATAGCTTATCGATTTAACGATGTGAAATAGGCTTGAGCCGATTGAACTTTGTTACATGCAGTAGTTGCGGCAATGAATACCTATATCGATCGATATTCCCGAGTAGTACGGATGTGTTCCGTCGTTTGATTGTACCAACTTACGAGAGTATAGTGTTCTGTGCTTACGAGTTCCTTCTGTTATAGTTTCTTGGTCAAGATGGACGTCTTCGTGTGCGCTAAGCCGTCATTATAACTGTACGAACGTGATCGAAGTCATTTGGACGGTTCTGAGTGCGCCCGTACAGAAGCGATCGAATCTTTGACGGAGAGAATTCGTTGCCAGCTGGCCTATTTCGAGTCGTCATCCTAGCCGAAGCAAAACGCAGATCTTTCTCGCTCTTATAACCTGGATGTAAAGATTATCTGACAAGCTGCCTAGGGCGAACCACGTCGATAAGTGTGGTTATCTTTAAGGGTAGGACGCCCGCTTTTTAAATTTGAAATAGACGAACGATCACAATCTCACTAATTTAGATGTTAAGCTGATATTTGTGCTAATTTTGATGAAAAAACGAAGTTTTAAAATTTTTTGCTAAAAGTTCCCGATGTCACTCAGTAGCTGTTTGCTTTTCCAAGAAATAAGGTAGGTACCTTAATATTAAGAAGTTAAGTTATAGTTATAGTCCGCTAGGGCAGAAGTATGTCCACGTCAGGATGCGCCGAGCGGTTTTATAAGTCGTGCGCCTGATGTTAAGCGACTAGACATAAGCGCCGCGCCGGCGCGCCGCCGCCGCCGCCGCGTTTTTCCTCGCGCAAAAAAAGTAAAATTTCGATAAGCTGGCAACTTTACGGCGGTGTTCAAGGCTCTGCAGCTTCGCCTCCACTAATTCCGAGTCACCTATATAAGCTTCTTGGCACGGTTGTCAATTGAATCCAAGGTGGCCAGTTGGTATGTAGCAGAGCCATCCTAAAGGTGGCAGCAGTACTCCATGCACGACCGGATTTGTGCTTGGTACAGCTGAAGCAACTGGTCCGGTGTGTGTGTCCCTATCTACTGACCAGAGAGATAGGGTTTTCCGGAGAGACTACGGGCTCGACGTCTAGATCGGGGTACAGTGGGCGTCCAGACCAAGTCCTCCGCCATTGATACGTCTTTGCGGGCGTCTGGCGGACCCGGACTTGGGGTATGGACTTGCAGGACACTGCGACTGGCATGTCTAGCCCGGACTAGCCCGGAGAGCTAGTAGAGGATAAGCTAGATGTCCTCCGGTCCCGCTAGCCACTTAAGTTATTGGGAACTGGAGAGACGTCGTTTTTCAGCGTCGGGAAGTGAGCGTGCCTTACAGCTCCGCCACCAATGAGGAGATTTGGTAGTGGACTCAGAATCGACGGCTTAGCGGTGGCAACTGCGAGTTGTGCAATGCGCAACGGGAAGTGAGCGTGCCTACAGCTTCGGTACCTATCTGGAAAATAGGGAGGGTACTGTACGTGCACCCGGGGCGGCTCACCCGAGGCACTAGCCTCTCGAACAACTCGTATGCCCTAAGGGTAGGTACGATCAAAACTAACGTAGAAAAATATGGTGCTTGTCCCGGTGTGAAGTAACGCCTCACTCTGGAAAGGGTCCCAAGCTTCCTTGCTGCATGTTTGGTCATGGATTCAACGTATCTGCCGAAGTACAAATTGGACGACAGGTCCATTCCAAGTAGTTGGAGACAGTCGGTTATAGGTGTGGATATATCACGAAAAGTCGGAGGCAGCTCAAAGGCACTCCGTTTTGTAGAGAATAGACACGCCTGCGTTTAGTACCGTTCAATTTGACAAGATTGGCATCGCCCCAGTCGGACTGCCTTGAGTGTCAAATCCAAACGGTTAACCATAGACTCTCGACAAGACTACATTTCCTCTCCACTGACCCTTGCATTGGTCAAGTACTACAACTGTGTTGTATCTACAACTGTGTTGTCCTCAGCATACGCAAAGGTACCTGGAATTAACATATCGTTGATATGCAGTAGAAAGAGAGTTGCGGACAGTACGGAATCCTGAGGAATCTATCGCCATATGTTCGGAAGAGTAGCCTTCTAAGACCTCTCGAATCGAACGGTCGCTCAAGAAATTCGAGTTCCAATTGCAAAGTGGGAAGCCCATAAAAGGGAAGCTTACTTAAAAGGTTTGCGTGCCAAACCCTGGCAAAGGCTTTAGAAATATCCAAAGACACTGCAAGTGCTTCACCTTGCTTTTCTATAGCCTCGCTCCGTATGTGACAGGCATACAAAAGAAGATCCCCAGTAGGGATCTGTACTGGCGATCACTGAGGAGGTCGTTGTCTTCAAGGTACGACAAGAGACTGTTGTTGAGTACACGTTCCATAGTCTTGCAGACTATGGATGTGACTGACATAGGTCTATAGTCGTCAGCGTCAGCTCTGCTTCTCTTTTTCGGCATAGGTTGCACGTTTGCAAGCTTTCACGACCTGGGAACTACACCAGTCTCAAGTGAGAGGCGGTACCCGGCGTAGGTATGTGAGAACAGGAGACAACTCAGGCGCACAGTTACGTAGGACTAGTACTGGAATTCCATCTGGCCCGCTAGCTTTATTCACGTCTAGATTCCGCAGAGTTCTAAGTACCTCTTTTTGGCATATGCGAATTGGAAAAGATTAGATCCAGACGCGAACTCTTTGCAAAGAGTGAGGCAAAAAGATTTGCCTTGTCTTCTGCAATGTAGGCCAGCATGCCGTCCGGCCTCAGGAGAGGTGACATAGATAGGCGACTAAAGTTATTAGTGACTTTGTTTTTTATATTTTTATTTATAGACGTTTTGTTTAAAAAATTAATTTGTCAATTTCTGGCGTCGTCATTTTCATTACGCATACACAATATGGAAGCGTGCGCGTGCGTACGATTGGAGCACGTGATCGAACTGATAAAAATTTGATTACTATACAAAATACGTTATTTTGTTTTTTCCTTTGAAAAAGTATTTGTATAACGGTTTTTGTAAAAACAAACACCGATATACAAATTCGTTTTAGGGTCGCGCTCGCGCCGCTGAGTGGTCTATTATCTAGGCGCTCATGTCTATAAGCGACAGCGACACGCCTGTCAATAGCAGAAAGAAATGTACCTACTTATATTGAATTTTGCAACTGCGCAGCGCGGCACCGTTTCTGTTTTTGCTATAAAAAAAGTCATCTTCACTCCACTTTACTTTTTGTTCTAGAAAATGCTATAGGTACCTATTTATTTAGAATTTATGCGTTGACGACACTGAAAAATACTCTATAAAATTAAATTTAAATGGCTGATACGAGGTAGGGTACGCGCCTGATGTTGATGTCATTATTATATTTTACAAAACTGATTACATAGGGATCGTAACAATTGACCTCTTTTTGGCACTTATTGCGTGGTCATAAACATCATAAAGCTTCCTGACCGGCTCAAGTCGATTCTCCGTCGATAAGTGTAGCGAATACCTTATTGCCTTGGTTGTGCAAGCTCACTTTGGAGTAAAGATCGCATGCACAGGCGTGCCAAAACATAGTTACGCAGTGTGCGGTAACTCGTGTGGCCACAGATGCACGCCACTTGCCGTGGCGTCATTACTCAAGCGTGCTGACGATACTCCCCTATACACCATGTCCAGCCAGGATGCATTGTTAACTCGCACTAAGGGTTCCAATAATAAACCTAATCATCTTCCCCTCCTATCTACCTAACAAGCTGTTGCCCTCTTATTTCTTCTACTTTCACTACCTTGGGTTAGCTGGAAGTAGTGTCTTTTAGAGATAAGTCCTTTGTACACTTTCGGTATGATTTACATTTCTTTTGAGTCTCTTTGTTGCAATAAAAATATTCAATATAAATACACAAATTTTACAGGGCTATGTATTTTCGGTTCAGTACTTCTTCACACTTGAGCTGCTGAGCTGCAACTTGTGTCAATGAGTTATAATCATACAAAAAAGGTAGACACATAACAACTAGCGTAAAATGTTTGCTGTTGAAAACTGGACGATCACATTTGTCACTCAGTTTAAGAAAAATAATAGATATGGCAGTTGTGAGGAACACGGCAGTGGTTCATAGAACAGTACATTTAACGCTACTGTGATAAATTAAATTACTAAACAGGTATTATAAATATAACAAATAATTTTTCTGTTGCTATATTTTCAGTTTTCAGCATATGTATAAGAAGATTCTTGCATTGTTTACTAGTTTTATTTTGCTATTTACACAACTATTCTAAGTTACAGCCTAAAATAAAAATATCATACATAATTATATTCATACAATATACAAACATCTACAGTAAAAGCTATATTGTGTATTACAGGAGCTCTCGCAAAAGCTATGCTTTTGATAGTAAAGTCAAGAGCACACCAAGCTTGACACTTTAGATCATTTTGATTGCAAGTGTCATAGCTCTTGACTGGGAACAGTACAAAACAATTATTTATATTTCTGATAAATAAATTTTGCAAAGTTTTTCATTTTAAACTGTTATTTTTTAGTAGGCTTTGCAAGCAGTCAAGAATAAATATGTTTACTGACAGATTATTTATATTTCTGATAAATAAATTTTTGATACTCGCAAAGTTTTTCATTTTAAACTGTTATTTTTTAGTACGCTTTGCAAGCAGTCAAGAATAAATATGTTTACTGACACCTTCAAGTGCTTCAAGTTAAAATAGAACTAATTTAAAATAAAATTTGTTTATATACTAAAGGATTCTCCACATCCACAGGTTCCTTTAATATTCGGGTTATTGAATACAAATTCCGAAGACAGTTTGTTTTCTACATAATCCATTTCAGTACCTGTAACAGATAAACATTATTTTTAAAGATTTTTACATGATTATAGTTATTTTTATACCTTTAACATATACACTTACCTAATAATGTTAACTGAGCTTTCTTGTCAATTATTATTGTGACTCCATCCTGTTTAACTTCTTCATCCAATTTATCTTTAGCCTTTGCATAATCTAGAGTGTATGACAGACCATTGCAGCCTCTTTGCCGGACACCAACTTTCAGACCTACATATCCTTTAGCTTCTTCTTTTTCCATAATCTCTTTAACTTTGTTCACGGCAGCTTGAGTAAGTACGAGTGCGGCCCGGGAAGGCAGCATTCGTTTCTTAACAGCCCTCACAGTTGCACTTGCAACCATCTTCGTAGCCATCTAACAATCACAAAAATAATATGTATATTTATAACGTCATTCAACACGTACAATTTACTCCACATATTAGAGATTGGCCTCATCGACTGCAAAAATTTTAATTACGACGAATAATAAACACATTTGTTTGTTACGAAAGTTGACACGCCAAATATTTTTTGTACGACCTTGAGATATATTTTCAGCAAAAGGCAAAAAGTTCAGTTTTACGGAATTAAATTGTACACAGAAACAGGCAAATTTACCTTCTTTGATTATTTTTATTGTTATAACTATTTATTTTTCAATTTCATAACACAAATTTTGCAGGCAAGTTGTCAAATAAATGTCAAAATACGGTATGTATGGATGGAATAAAGTTTTTTATAGTGCAAAATTTGTAACTGTTACTTATTAAAAGAATCACGAGTACATTTCAATTCAATGTTCACAGTATAAATAGTAGCAGTAACATTTCAATGTTCACAGTATAAATAGTAGCAGTTGTCACAATCGAAGACGTCATCAGACCAAATCTGACAAGTAGAATATCCGAGGTCATTCATAGTCATCTGACCTCCCTGTGTGCGTACTGAGTATAGTGTTCTGTGTGTCTAACCTCTTAGTAGTATAGTGTTCTGTGGATGTGTGTATCCGATCACACCTTTTTGTCAGTCAATTTTTAATTGACACGTTTTCTGTTGTGCTCGTGTTGCGCGTAGCGATTTTCAATCAGTTTGGCAAATGTGAAAAATTTATAATGGGTGGTCAAAAATTTGAATATGATGAAAGCGGTTCCACATTCTTTTACTTCGTTCTTTCTTTTTTGGCATTAATATTAATACCGGCGACGTTTTACTATTGGCCGAAAAAAAGAAAAGAAGGTAAGTTAAATTGCACTGTTTAACCGTAATTTAATAAGAAACCGAAGATATATTATAGTTTATTTGTATCGTGCTAACAAAACATATTCGAACCCTTATGTGGTCATGAAATTATTAAAACTATTCTTATATTTACCGTTAGCTGGCTCACATCAAAATTACGTTGGTGTTGCGGTATGTGTGGTGACTCGCTTACACACCCAAAATTAATTTAGAGGAGTGCTTGAAACGGGCATGACGTTAAAATCTTACCTGGAAAATTTTCCGTTTTTGTTATGCTAAACAGAACATAAATTTACGTGAAATAACTCATAGTCAGTATATTGCTAAATTCTAACGTAATTCCCTTTTAGACCCGGTAAAGCAAGCAGAACGATGTCAATGTCCAGGTTGTATACAGAAACAGAAAATTATAGAACAATCACAGCCTTACAAAGGTGTGAAAAACTTCTTTATAAAGCTAGCAATCATCTCAGGATGGGTACTCCTTGGATTCCTCGCATACAAAGTGTCACAGTTCGACTATGAGATGTCGAACTTTGATCCATATGACATATTGGGTTTGCCCCCTGGTGCTACACAAGCTGAAATCAAGAAGTCATATCGTAAACAGTCTCTAATACTTCACCCTGACAAAGAGACTGGAGATGAAAAAGCCTTTATGAAACTAACTAAAGCCTATCAAGTAAGTCTTCTATTTATTGTTAAATTAATTGTGTGGTAGGCATTGCATGTTACTTAAACTTTGAGATGAAATCGAAGCCCAAAAATATAAACAAACAACCTGTCACTGACAAAGTGACATCTCATAGATCACAAACCTTTTTCGAGTTTTATTCTTCATAATATTACAATTACTAATTATAATGGAAAAAATACCCTTTTGGATTAAACAACTCAGAACTTTTTGAAAAAATTTTGTGTCATGAAATGTTTTTCATTGAGAAATTATGATAAAATGACAAGAGCCACGGCACATAGAAAATGAGTCACGGCACAAAAGAAACATATCCCAGAATTCTTTTAGATTAGGTATATAAATTCTATATACCTAGTTTTGATATAGTTTTGATAGTAGCTACCATGGCATTGACTTAAGTTTTTACTCAAGTAAAGCAATGTATTTTCATGTATAAATCAAAAGGCAACCAGTTTTTTTTTTTCACTATTCCAAAACTATTATAAGGCAATATTATAAAGCTTGCTACAACTCAACGCATGTACAGCAAGGAGCGTATTCGATAATGACAAGTGTCAGAAACTAAATGAAAAAAATTACAACTATGCAGTTCAGTCTGGTCAATCCCTGTCAATCAAAAGCTGAACTTTTATTTTTATTATGACTTCTAATTTATAATGAACACTATTTAATATTGAATCAATTTATCATTTTTATTTTATTATTATTTATAAAAACATTATTTTTAATAAAATATAAAAGTAATAGTATTAGAGCTACAAATTATTGTTGTAGTATAAAATTATAGTAAAAAAATCTTATTAATTCTTATTAAATAAAAATGATGATTGGATAATATTTTGTTCGTACATGCACACAATTTAAGAACAATATAAATCATGTGACATTATTTTTGGACTTATTCACATTTTTAAATTCTTTTTGTGTAATGGCAGTACTTTTATTTACATTTTTGGACTTCAATTCCAACTCAGAGTATAGTGTGTGGAGATTAGGACCTAACCATTATATGTTAGTGGCAACTAAATGGTCACAAGACTTGTGGGACAGTTTCAACAATTTCCCCTTGAGTTGCTAGGTTACTATAATCTCATAAGAATACCCCATATTCTTCATTTAGCTTTAATGATATATACCATGCCTTTTCCGTAGAAGGTGTCAGTATATAACTTATATACATTGTTTGTTCAGGTGCTAGAATGTCTGTTTCATCTGTTACTCTCAGATATTGTCAATTCCTGGGACTACTTATAGTTTGTATATAGTTTGAGAAATAAAATTAAAACATTATATAAAGTGTGAACTTATGATATTGAGATGGTTTTATGTAGTAATTATATAGCTGCTGTATTTTGTTGCACTAACATTTTTATATGAGAGCTAGAAATTCCCAAAAACTTTTTTGCTCTTCACCTAAGCTTTTTACTTATTTTATACTATTTTAGAAAGACTTTATGTAGTAATTAAAATTGTATTTTCAGGCTCTTACAGATGATGAAGCAAGACGTAATTGGGAAAAATATGGCAACCCTGATGGTCCTGGGGCAATGAGTTTTGGTATTGCATTGCCAAGCTGGATTGTAGAGAAAGAAAATAGTGTGTGGGTCTTAGGCCTATATGGTCTTGTATTTATGGTTGCTTTGCCTACTGCTGTAAGTATTATATAGTGAACTTGCCTAGTATTTTTGATAATAACTTCCAATTATTTGTTTTATGATTGAATGGCTTAATTTGAATAAGCTTAATATTTTAGGAACACCACAAATTTCACTCATACAAACAAATGTTTTTTTTTTAAATTTGTTCAATCTTTTCAAAACAAAACAGATGTTTTTAATTTTAGTCAAAACATTTCAGGTTGGGACATGGTGGTACCGTTCTATCCGTTTCTCTGGAGAACAAGTTCTGCTGTATACAACACAAACCTACTTCTACTTTTGCCACAAGACACCATCAATGCCTTTGAAAAGGGCCCTCATGATCCTTGCAGCCTCCTGTGAATTTGATAAAAGACATAACTCAGAAATTGTAGAGAGAATTACTGACAATGAAGAAGTACCTGCAGTGAGTAGTTGACATTATAACATTATGTTAATTGCCTAGAACAACATAGACTCATTTATTTTGTCACTTAGATCAACAATAATAAAACAGTATAACAAAACTTTGAAATTACAATAAATGCACATTGTGCGTGCACAGTGTAAACTCAGGACAATTCCAATATTTATTTATTTTATATCCTATTTTTACTATTATGAAAATGCTAGGTTGCCGTCCTAACGCCCCTCTTGACCATTTCACTGCTGAGAACCATGATATTTACATATTTTTTGTGAAAATACTCCACTAGTTTGCAATCACCACAAAAAAAAGTGAATATCATGGTAGTAAAAACATCATGATATTCAATAAAATAAATATTGTAATTAACAAAGCGACATCTCTTGTCTGCTGCTGGTAACTGTAAAAATACCTGACTGGCCGAGTGGAAAAAAACCATAAGAGTTTGCATGTGTTGCACAGTGGAACTGGGGAGGCGAGCGTTGGTATTTTGTATAATTTTTCCTTCCAATAAAAAACCGACCTCAAAAGTCATTCATCCCTTAGTGTGCCACCCTTAGAGGTGGAATAAAATTTAAATGGGACCACTACTGTGGTACCCTTTTTTCAATAAAAAAAGAATAATCAAAATCGGTTCACAAATGGAGTTATCGCGTAACAGAGGTTTCTCACAGGTGGCGCCACGGCAAAAAAACCGGTTAAACCAAACACAAAGGTTTACAACGAGCACTAGAGATATAGCATAAGGTCTGCCCTCGTTCCATAACTCAGTTGGGAAAGCGATGTGGCAAGGTGGCTGGTTCGAGTCCAGCTGGATTGTAGGAAGTTTTCTTTGTGTATGCACGATCTTTGTATCAATGGTAACAGTAATGTAACATTTTGTCTTTTGAGAGTTTATATAGTATGTAAGACCATTTTCTCACTGGTTTCTCGTTGTGAGTTCGGTGGGCATTGGATTCAAGTTTTTCTGCGTTTCGCAGTGCTCGATTTCCCAGTGCGCATAAACCTCTGAGGACTTTTTTATAACAACTAAGTGACGGGACGAACAAGTCGTGCGCCTGATGGTAAACTACACGCCTGCCCATAACAGTAGCAGTACCACTGAGAGCTTTAAATCACAAAGATCGGAGGGGCACCGCCACTGCGCCCGACACCCTGAGACATAAGTTGACAAGTCCTATGTGCCAGTAATTTCACCAGTACCCTTCCCTTCGAAACCGAAACGCAATAATGCTCACACTACTGCTTGGCGGCAGAAATGGGTGAGGTGGCAGTACTTCCCTGGACGAACACTTTCACAAGGAGCTCTACTGCTACTAATGGGTGATCAAGTTTTCACTCCTGTAAAACGGTTATTTCGAAAATATATTGTGAATACGTCATAGTCATCACCTGGTGTTTTTTAAAAAGATCTTATTTCGTGCATATTACGGGTCTCTGTGCACGTTTTTGGATAACAAACACACTTTTTAACCGACTTCAAAAAAGGAGGAGGTTCTCAATTCGTCTGTATGTTTTTTTTGTATATATGTTATGCGATAACTCCGCCCATTTGTGAACCAATTTTGATGATTCTTTTTTTGTTGGAAAGAAAGTACCTCAGATGCTGTCCCATTTAAATTTCAAGAAAATGCTCCACCTCTAAGGGTGGCAAACTAGGGGATGAATTGCTTTTGAGGTCGGTTTTTTTAACCGGAGGTTAGGTTAGGTTATTGCCTCAATCAGTTGCCCCAATGTGCGATATTGTAGGACACCATCGAGTAATGAAGTACGTCAACATCTCGCACTCCCCAGCGAATAATATGGTAACCGATAATTCTGAATTTTACAGGAAAAATAGAAAACTATTTTTTGTGTACATTCAGCTCGAGTGCATCGTTGGCTAGTTATTTCTATATCAAAACAAAGCAAATTTTGTACAGTTTATTTTCTTTCATGATATTTTTGTATTAGTTTTACTAAATAAAGTTATTGATGAAAATAATATTACTGAAATTGCAGGCCAAAAGTATAGCATGCAAAGCATCATTACCATATTATTCGCGATTAAACCCAACGATTTCGTAGTCAGTATTAATGCATTACCGTATTATTCATTGAAATATGGTGTCAAAAAAGGTAACGGTAATATTATATTACGACTTTATTCGGATGAAATCCAAGCGATAGTGTATACAGTAATAGTACAATTACAGTAATATTCGTTGATATATGGTATCAAAAAATGAATAATAATGTAATTATGCAAATACATTCTATATTAAAATAACACACAAATATAATTGTTTTAACTGCCTCCGTGGCCGAACGGTTACCATGCCGGACTGCCACGCAGAGGTCCCAGGTTCGATTCCCGGGCCGGGAGAAATGTTTGTATGGCCTACATTTATTTCTCTCGTGAGTTTGGGTGTAATTTGTGGTTGTCTATGTGTGTGTCCATGGCACCCGCGACACAGGGTTTCCCTAGTGCGGGGCTATGTTGAGTGTGTGCGTTATTTATTTTATTTTATTTAATGTGTTTCTTACGCGAATTTAATGGTTATCATCACTTACGGAAAAAAATAACGATTGCATAATCTGTACTAACTTGTTATGGTATTATTCGTGTAAAAAGGGTGTTTAGACATTAAGGGAATAATATTATTATGTTCATTACGGGGCCAATGAAATTAATGTACTTTTATAAATATCCATAGAAATATTACAAAAAAAATTACACGGTCTAATTAACGCTCTAAACATCGGATGTGCAATAAAATGAAAACTACCGCAACAGCATATTACCATATTATTCGGTGGGAAGGGCGATCTATACCGCATCAGACATTACTAAGTTTTTTACACAGAGGCTGTATGTGCTTTCCAGTTTACATTAATTGTGAAACCTAGGAATTTGCATGTGTTGCACAGTGGAACTGGGAAGGCGAGCGTTGGCTGTTTTATATAATATTTCCTTCTAATAGAAAACCGACCTCAAAAGTCATTCATCTCTTAGTGTGCCACCCTTAGAGATGGAATAAAATTTTAATGGGATCACTACTGAGATACTCTCTTTCCAATAAAAAAAGAATAATCAAAATCGGTTCACAAATGGAGTTATCGCGTAACATACATACAAAAAACATACAGTCGAATTGAGAACCACTAACGCAGCAATTTGTACGTAAACATTATTTATGCGTCCAACTCTGTATAGTTTTATGCACACACTACAGTTGTAGTCTGCAAAGGCCCTCAGGTGTAAAGTGTGCCAAATCGACAATATCGGATAGCGTTTTACGTAAGCCAGATTCTTGAGAGATATCAACGGTGTCAACGGTGAGAACGCAAAAAATCTCTTTAGTTTTGTACCTATCATTTATGCTAGTGATATAGAATCTACGACATTTTGTATCGTAACTGTGACGATCTACCTTTTCTAGAGGCATATAGTGTGTTTGATAACAAGACGTTCATTTCAAAGTATTTATATAATAGATTTTATTCATTTTTATTTATTTCGAACTATACCTGGGTTGCATCCCCTTTGTCCTAGAACACTAGACATATACCTTCTGTAAACATTTCGGTTACTAAAGTCACGAATATTCCCCAGATAACTGGCCATATAGACATAGTACATATGCTTATAAATATGCCGTACATTTCTAGTATTTTTGATCCATGACAGCCCTCGTATAACCATTACTAGTTGGTAGGTTAAACTGGAGAGCATTTGTCTACACATTTTCTTAAGATTGACATTGGTTTCTCTTTATTAGTTTGCATTGTTTTTATTTTGTTTGGCAGACGGTACAATGTATCTGTTATGAGATCGTACAAGATTCAAGTGATTCTTAGTGAAAAAATAATTACTAATAATTTGTCACATTATTCAAATTTATAGTCAATATAAGCTTGTATTTATTAATCACGCCGTGATCACACGGATTTTTTTATTACATTCTTCTGAGTAATAATGCACGCCGTTGTCAAATATTTTATTTATTATCTTTTATTCTTTCACTGTGGATCTCAGCCTTTTTGAGGACATCAGTGGTCTGGTCAATGTGAGCCCTTCTGAGACGTCCTCTTAAAACCCTTTCATCCACATTCGTATCATAAATCTATTTAGTAACACTTTTTACATCTATCCGCCCTACATGCCCATGCCCAAACCACCCCAACATTCCTTTCTAATAACTCACACTCAACATAACCCCGCACTAGGGACCCTTTGTCGCGGGTGCCATGGACACACACACATAGATAACTACAAATTACAGCTAAATTCACGAGAGAAATAAATGTAGGCCATACAAATATTTCTCCCGGCCCGAGAATCGAACCTGGGACCTCTGCGTGGCAGTCCGGTAACGGTTCGGCCGCGGAGGCAGTTAAAAAATTTTCTCTATTCTAGTCACCACATCCTCTTTCAAGCTACATCTTTCACGTATTACTGTATTCTTCACTCTATTCCACAAATTTTCCTCAAAGATCTCATCTTCACTGCATTAATTCTGCTTCCTTCTTCTGTCATACCCAAGTTTCACTACCAAACACCAGCAAAACATTATGTGTGGACATGTGTGCTTTTTGAGATAAGATGTTGCTCCCCATTAGATCCTTTATTTATGACTTTCGTACCCTTTTTTCAATATCCTCAATAAACTTTCAATCTCTTGTAAAAACACTACGCTGATATGCAAACACATTCACTTGATCAACATTCATTCCTTGTATTTTAATCTTACATACCTTCACGTTCTGACTATGTAACAATACCTAGTCAAATTTCATTTAAAATTATATAGTACGTACGTTTTGGTATAAAACCGTTGTTCAGTCAGTAACATAGAACAACCTTCGTTTCTTAAATGGCATTGTACATCTTGAGATTAGATTTCCGATATAAACATAATGCATTTCTTTCAGTGATTAATCTAATCAAAATGTGCTATGTTATATAATTGATTGAATTTACACAAGCAATTGTTTAGCTGTTTATTTGGCAAAGTCGCAGAATGTCCACTGTCATTTCTCAGAGTCTCTTTCGCAAAAAGGTCCCTTTCGCAAAAAAGGCTCACGAGGCTTAAATATAAATATATATTGTAGGCTCCCTGTTGAAGAGAAACTTTTACAGACTTGAGTAATTGTACTACACAAAATTAATTATGAAATGTGCATGATAATAAAATGTCTATGAAAACCGCGTAACGACACATCTATCATAATTCCGCATACGTATTTTTTGTGTTCCCATTTATGCCGCTGAATTTAGTAGGTGTGGTACTAGGTTAAACTTGGTTAATTCGACTGTAAAATAATTCCAGCTGTTGCGTGAGCTTCCAAACCTCGGCGAAAAAAACAAGGAGCAGCCCCTTTGCCGGCCGTACAGCATCAAGGCAAGAGCGCTGTTGCACGCACACTTGTCGCGCATGCGCCTTCCTCCCGAGACTCTCGAGCTCGACCGCCGTTACATCGTGTCCCGCTGCCCTGAACTCATTCTAGAAATGGTCAACTGTGTCAACCAACTTATTGCTTTAGCCTATGCTCGTAGAAGTAAGTTTCTTTTGATTTAGTAGAAAATTTTTATGTTTTTAAATCTACTAAAACATTGTCAACCCTATTAAATAAAACTAATACAAAAGCTTTCAACTGCCTCTGTGGCCGAACGGTTACCACGCCGGACCGCCACGCGGAGGTCCCAGGTTCGATTCCCGGGCCGGGAGAAATATTTGTACGGCCTACATTTATTTCTGTCGTGAGTTTGGGTGTAATTTGTAGTTGTCTATGTGTGTGTCCATGGCACCTGTGACGCACGGTTTCCCTAGTGCGGGGCTATGTTGAGTGTGTGTGTGCGTTATTAGAGCTTAATATAATTCTCTCTATACAAACAATACGGTCAATGTGGGTAAATTTAAATTACTATTATTAAAATTATATAAAAAAATTAAACTATTTTAAAACGAGGATGGATACTCCCATTGTCATATTGAGGTAGACGTACGATTTTTTACTCAGCTTTCAAAAGCTAAGTTAGAGATCGTACATTCGATGTCAATCTTGACAATATAATAAATAGTAAGTTCAAAAGTTAAAACTTTTATTGTGTAAATTATAGGTAATAATTTTGTTCTGTACGTTATGTGTTGTGGATATGAATTTATTGATAATACCAATGTTTTTTTTACAGTTCCCCGATTACCAACAATTGAGACAATAGAAAATTGTATGAAGCTCTCTCCAATGATAGTACAAGGCCTATGGGAGTACAAATCTCCATTGCTACAACTGCCTTACATAACAGAAGACCACCTCAAATACTTCACGAATCGTAAGAAACACGTCAAATCGCTATTACAACTGGCGCAACTACCTGGGGACGATAGGAGACAAGTACTAAGGTTCTTAAATGACAATCAATACGAAGACCTCATGAAGGTGTTGGGAACCATGCCTTATATTCATTTTCAAGTTAACACTGAAGGTAATTTTCTTGTAATATTTTATTGACACAATTATTTTCTTGATTATAAAATGCCGACATTTTAAGAAACTAATTTGTAGTATAACACGGAAATCGAACAGGGAGCCTACCACAACCTCTTAAAACAATATTACTTTAACCTTAGGGCACTTCCTCGCCGAGAACATTCGCCTGTAATGTAACATTCAAGATTCGTTTATTTGTTTTCGTACCATGACGCGTACGTCGTACTTACAGTAAGCTTATTACGAGTATAATGTTAAAACTATGGCGTTTTATTGGCAGCTTTGAGTCTATTCATTCTAAAGTAATATTGTTCTTATGTCAAATTTAGTTATATTTAGTTTATATTAAATAGTTACTCGGACCCAGTGGACACAGTATTATTTTCGCATTTCTTAACTAAATATATTATACAACATTTATTGCTGATGATTAAAAGTTACGTTTAACTTATTTATAAACATAAATCTCTTGAATAAGGGTACTGGTGAAATTACAGGCACATGGGACTTGTCAACTTATGTCTCAGGGTGACATAAGTTGACAGTGCCCCTCAAATCTTTGCGATTTAAAGTTCTGAATGGTACTGCAACTGTTATGGACAGGCGTGTAGCTTACCATCAGGCGCACGGCTTGTTCCTCCCGTCACTTGATATTATTAAAAAAACCCGCAATGGTTTATGCGCACTGGAAAATCGAGCATTGCGAAACGCAGAAAAACTTGAATCCAATGCCCACCGAACTCACAACGAGAAATAAGTGAGAAAATGGTCTCAAATACTATATAAACTCTCAAAAGACAAAATGTTACATTACTGTTACCATTGATACCAAGATCGTACATACACAAAGAAAACTTCCTTCAAAAAACATTTTTTTTTTTTTTTTATTTAATAGTACATACGAAATAATTTCTCGACAAATAAAAAGACTCGATGTTTATTTCGTACAATTAGGGCAGCGACACTAACAGTTGGCACTAGACTATAATTTCGAATTAATAACGTGACAATCAAGGCTCAGCTTGTTTTATTTATTTTTCTTCATGAAAATGAGGAAAAAATATTGAAAACAACGCAATTTCAATAAATTTGATTATTACATATCTTTTCTTTTTTTTGCAATTAATTCTGTGAATGTAAATAATATTATGACTATCAGTACTTTAACATTATACTATGATAGGAAGATTCGGATCATCAAAATAGAAAGAGATGGCATTATGCAGTATATAGCGATATTTCTTTCCTATTTTTAGCAACGAATAGACAATGTTGGGAAATCATTCGTTCTTTCCATCACTATAAAAATAATACATTACTTGGTTGATAGGTTTGTCATGGTACGAATATGAGTAATATTATAATAAGCTTACATTATGCTTACATTGAAATAAGATTGTTTTTTGAAATGTTATGGTTGGTAATGCCCCAAGTCTAATTTCCTCCAAGCTAATTTTTTTGAAACTACTGCTCATTGTAATTCCATTGAGACTCCACTGACATTATAATAAATATTGTAGTTATGACAATATTTGTTATTGTGCTAAAATTTAGTTACAATGACAGTTGAGTCTCGCTGGAGTGCATCGAGTATATAACCAGAAATAGAGACGAAATAAGAGCCATCCATCCCTGGCAACTCATCAGGCAAATGAGCCTTATATCGCTTTTAAATATCAACTCACGTTTACACTTAAATCACAAATTAGAAAGCTGAAATAGTACAGCGCCAACAACTGACCTTTGTGTATGTCTCCATACATTCCAAAAACATTCTGTATTTATTGTAATAAAGATAATATCTCTAAATATGGGGACTGTTCCATTCGGTGGTGTGGAAAAAATTGCAAAACATCTAATTACAAAACAAACGGAATCAAATTTCATCGGTAATTAAATATGTAAATTTTCAATTTTCGTTAATTACAGTAAAGCTCAAGTTAAACTGGTTGATTTGAAGTGATACAATCGACGACACGCGTGAATTGTTTCGAATTCGGGCTGGCCAATCGGAGCGCAGTTGTCACTGTAATGATATGGCAAAATAATTTTCAAACAAATTAAATGACATTTCGTTACTATTTCTATATACACTGGAGTGACAATGGAATGGCAATGATGGCATTCATTCATTCAACCACAAACGATCGATGTTGCCTTACTAAAACTATCATGGAAATTACTATGCATTTCTTAATTTCTATCTTGTTTAATCAGCAATTTTGTCTTCAAATGAAATGTATTTATTTGATGTCACATAATTAGTAGATTGCGCCATTGAAGAGCAGAATACCAAAAAATTGCAATGCCAAGCCACTGCTTTTGAATTTTATCGGATTACCAAACAAACAAAATTTTGTCATTGAAACTATCGACACACGACTGAAATGATTTAAATTAGTAGACTTGGAGCCCGGATAAAAATACAAAAACGTTGTCTTCTATAAAGAGAATGTGCTTAGTGCATTAATATCTTTCTATTTATGATATATTATTAATATTTGAGTTCTTAGGTTTTCGCGCTTGTCAAATTATAGGACTTGAAAAATTTTTTCGGATCTAAATAGCGTATTATTTGTTTTTTTTTTTTTCAAACTAACCAACATTTGACATCAGGATCGTTGGTTTGTTTGGAAAAATAAATATACGCGGTTTAGATTTAAAAAAATTGTTTCATTTCTTACATTAAAATTTAACTGCCTCCGTGGCCGAACGGTTACCATACCGGCCTGTCACGCAGAGGTCCCAGGTTCGATTCTCGGGCCGGGAGAAATATTTGTATGGCCTACATTTATTTCTCTCGTGAGTTTGGGTGTAATTTGTGGTTGTCTGTGTGTGTGTCCATGGCACCCGCGACACAGGGTTTTCCTAGTGCGGGGCTGTGTTGAGTGTGAGCGTTATTATTAAAAAGTTATTGAGACCCTAGTCTCAATAACTTTATCGAAGGGCGGAGAGTGTCCGTTCTCATTACTTATTTGCTCTCTAGCCTCATACCTATATGAGAATAGTATTTTATGCAATTGTTGCATAATGAGGGTTCTTGAAGTCGAGTACCGTCTATAGGCCACGAGGCTAGAGAGCAAATAAGTAATGAGAACGGACACTCTCCGCCCCTCCCTAGCTTTAGATATCGCACCACGCCCCGCACATTGACGGTCACATTGACTGAACGAGTACAAGTCGGTCGGCGAGCCGATTTCGCGCTAAGACGGCTTTGATGTTTGAATATAGTTTTCATTTATTCATTACGAAATTTGTACGTTAATATATAACATCATTTTACGTTACTATTTATAATGGTCGTGAATTGTGCTGTGTACGGCTGTTTATAATCATCTAAACGTGATAAAGAGAGGAGTTTCTTTCGTTTTTGAAAGATGAAACGAAGTAAGTAAAAAAACTTATGTCTGAGCGTCATTCAGTTATTGTTTTCTTTAGTGCAGAGTAATACATAATACAGATTTATTATATCAATATAATAAGACGTCAAAACTTCGTGAGCTAGACAAGGCTTCTAGAATTTTCAATTTGTATTGCCGATAAATATTACGTAGTGAAAATACCTAATTATTAACAAGGTAATGATAAAGTTGGACACGCAATTTCAAATACTTTGGTTACCTTATTTAAAGGTACCTGTCCAAAATATAAAATTTTAAGTGCTTTTAATATATTTTTGAAATAAATCTTCAATATTATTCTAGTTAGTGAATTAATAAAAAATATAATATTATATCGATGTAAATACATAATAAACATGTGCCATTATTAGGATTCTATAATAGAATTATAGATAACAGATTCGCGTTAGAATTTTCGCTATGTTGCCGCTCTGGCCACGTAACGTAATAGTATGAGCAAGTGACGGGTAGGTAACCCTGCCACTTCACACGCACACATTCGTGCGTGTGCAGATAGCGCCTTGTTGTATGTAGTAGTAGTAGGTGAATAATTTTCGACCGTTGTATGGAGTGTCCGGGGTGTGACGAGGCTTAGGCGAGGCTAGCGGCCTAAGTAATAGGTACGAGATTTTAAGACTTAATTATGTAATGCCATTCAATAACAATAACAGAATCTATATTTAATGTACATTTTGTTACGAATCCATCAACAAACACAATTTTTTAAAATAAATTTTACCCCTTTATTTTGGGTAGGCAAAGGTTCCACCATACAGCCTCTTCATATGTTTAGACGAAAGCCAAACAAACGTTATAAAACAAAAAAACCAAAGAGATAGAATAGCACTGACCAAGTACCACGTATATTTTAACCATTTTTTTTATAAAGATTTATGGCCCAGTTGCAAGACTTTTAGGCCAATTTAACCAATCAGGAGCCAGTATAGCGTTTGAGTAGCGTCCTTATTGATATTTTAATTAGCAAAATTACGACATTCTTTTTTTGAAACTCATAGTTCAGTGTACAGTACGTTAATACTCACTAAGTTCTGTGTACAGAACTTTAATGAAATTTTCCAGCTCATTGGCGAGTACCATAGTCAATAGAATTTTGATTCAGAACAAAAGAGCACCATTGTGACATGGTTTATGAAATTATATAAATTGACAGGTTAAATTGCAGTACTATTAAATAAAACTATTATATATATATTCTTTATTGCACCAAAAAAATACAAAAGAAGTATTAATTACGCAAAAGGTGTGCAAAGGTGGGCTTATCTCTAAAAGAGGTCTCTTACAGCCAACCCAAGGTGTTAGTGAGCAACAGCGTGCAAGAGAGAAATACAATAAAGTAACAGATAAATAAATATAAACTGATACTAACATAAGTATTATAAACACATATAAAATATATAACGTATAATAATAATAATAATAATAATGTGTATGTATTTTCAGTAATTGACGATGAGAACTCGACAGTGGTGACAGCAGGCGCCATTGTCACGGTGACGGTTTTTCTTAGACGGACCAATATGAAGGAACTTTTCGGCGACACCACCATTAAAGAGAAAGAAAGCATCAAGTAAGATTTGAGTTATTTTTGTTTCTTGACTTATTTGTTCGTCCTTATTTTGAAAAATCGAGGGATGTTAGCGCGCAAAGATTTGTCAGCATTGGAGAAAAATATTTTAAGAAGTATGAGTGGAAGTTTATATAATTATGTAGAACAGTTTATTAGTCATTATAATTTCGCACTGCTGGGCACAGACCGCCTCGACTTCTTTCATAACATTATTTACAGTCACCGTGCTTATTATGAACTTTTAAAAAACCATGCAAGTTCCAGGCAATTCTTTTTACTCCCAAAAACTGACTGGATAAAATTCGTATTACGACATACGTATTTTTCGCTATCTTCTCGCTGGTTATTTTGTCTATGACTAGCTCGTGCTTTTTAGTGTAACGTTCAAAAACATGGATGAATATTTACCGGTAAGTTACGGTGTTATATTTGTCACTTAGTTTAAGAGAAAAATAATAGATACGTATTATTCATGTACGAAAATAAATAAAGACACTATATTATAACAAAATCAATACACTATATTTTAATTTTTGTAAATAAGAGAAAAGCGCAAATTAAGTTTCCGAACGACGTCAAACGTCGACGAAATTCCGCGGGTAAATGTTTACTTTGTAGTTTGTTGAAAACATGTCAATAATATTTTAAGAATATTTGACTATAAATTAAATTGTAAGAAATTATACTTGGCTTTAGTGAAAAATAACCTTAGTCTCAACCAATTAATCGGTGGACTTTGTAGGCCTCGACATGTGCGGTTTAAGTTCATCACAAAGATTGTGGATCATATCTTTGCTGAGCCAGTATCTTTTCATAAATTGTTGTGCATCCATTTCAAACGGCTCACTACGATCTCGCAGTTGTCTTCTTTGGATTTTTTCCATATTATTATCGTGTGAAGCATCACTTTCGAGATACTCAAACATTTCGTATTCATCACACATGATGAATTGATTGCCTAAAAATATATAAACTAAAAATTATAATAATTATTATACAATTATACACAAAACAATTCAATAAAAGCTACACCAAGACACTGTAAACTGAATGGTTTATTGCTGTTACTTTTTGACAGATCAACCGTGAACTAAATGTCAAAATAACGTTTGTAATACGATAGTGCCATATGATCGATGACTGGCTGGTATTACCAGTTCATAATATGAAATTACAATGCAGTTTACTTTAACTGCGTGGAAATAAGAGTTTATATTAGGCCCCCTGGAGTAAGTAAAGCTATTTTACGAGTTACGTCATGCGGTTATAATATCATGTTATCGTATCGATAGCATACACGATAGTGCTTGCCATCGTGGTGAAAGGATTTGCCAATCTGCGTAAGGTACTCGTCGATTGTTGCCCAGGGTGCGCCAGATATACAGGAAAGGAGTGGTATGTCGTACGTGGGGCTTCTTTCGTACACCGCGTAAGCGTTATAATGTGGAAAAGGCATATGGCTTTTTTGACAAATCATTTAGTTTTCCCGGAATTTTCGGGAATGGGAACAAATAGGTGATAATGATTTATGTGTTTTAGTTTGAATATGATATTTGTAGGTATGTAAATATTTCAAAAAAACATTATATATAAATACATTCAAAATAGGTAATTTTTTCTTAAAAAAAATGTAGCAAGTATATAGCAAATCTATATATTTCCGACTGAAAACGTCCGGTCTGTACCAAAGGCAAAGGGCAACAGAATAAAACCTGACGACAACCGAAACACGAAGTTTGCCAAAGGACATTGAGAAAATAGCACTGTAATTATTTTATATTTCGAAACTATTATCACGTATAAAAATATTTTTTTTATACACGAAAATAGCATGTAGTTTCAAACATGTTAAATCCGTCAGTAATAGCAATAAACCAAAATCTAAACAACTTTACACAAATACAACACAACACAATAGCAGAACTAGAAGGAGTTCTACCAGTAAAAGAGTTCGTCCAGGGAAGTACTGCCACTTTACTTACTTCTGCCGTCAAGCAGTAATGCCAAGCAGTAATGTGAGCATTACTGCGTTTCGGTTTGGATGGGTAAGGGTGCTGGTGAAATTACAGCGACATGGCACTTGTGAAGTTACGCCTCAAGGTGACAGGTGCAGTGTTGCCTCTAAGATATTTGCGATTTAAAACTGAATGGCACTGCAACTGTTATGGATAGGCGTGTCGCTTACCACCAGAAGTACGACTTGTTCGTCATGTCACTTTTTTATTTATTTTTATTTTATTTATAACATACATAGCTTATAATAAGTTAAAAATACATAAAACGGTGTCGCCTATTAAAGATTTTTCTGTAAACCCCTGCCTGCATATCATGTTGCCAATAATAAACACAAAATAGGGTAGGTAAGAAGATATTTCGCTCCCACCGACCCGACTGACCGGTCACATTCGTCGCTAGCATGATTCATATTTTGTGGAAGTGTGTGTGATGAAGCCATTCTTTCTGTCGTTAATGTTATACGGTGTGTTTCATGTTCAAAATAGTAAATTAGTCTGTTTATAAGATAGTTAGCTAATGTAAAAAAAGTTAGGATTAGGATACTTATTCTCAAACTTTAGTCTATTGTTCCATTAAAAAATAACCACCTCTAGCATCTTGCATGCAATAAAAAACGGTCAACTTGATATTCCTTTGCAATAGTTTTATTACAAAATTGATGATATACCTTCCTAAAAAATCTATCTACCAGAGACTAGAGAGATAGATATGGAGAGAGAGATATTTTGATTATTTTTAGTAATTGATTTTGTAAACAAATTGTACAAATATACTATTCGTAACGAATTAGTAACGACTCGCTACGCTTTTAATTTGCCACACAGAAAGGACATGTTTCGATTTGCCACAATTTTAATTATTTTTTGTTAAGCTAATTTCGATTTGCCACACTTTTATAGGACTTTTATTACTTTATTTCGGTACAATTACATTTAAATTTTTTTGATTGGTCAAATATAAAATATTTTCTTACTAAATGTACCTTCAATAGTTTTCATTCTATGGTAAAATTAAACTCGTTATATGGACTAAAAATTCGATTTGCCGCATTAATTTTAACAGATGTAGCATTAAGAAAAACGTTTGGCTAGTGTGTAACGTTGTTAATTTCCAATGATCTGATAACATTATGAATTATTCTAGTCTTGAATTCCGGAGTCCTAACCATATTAAACGTAACGTTCGAGGTAATTGACCCGAAATAGCTCTACCCACTCTTGTCACTGATGAGTATGGATGATGATTTAAAGCTGCACTTTGAATTGTTTATCGAAATCCAGCGGCGAATCTGGCGAAATCCAGTTTCAATCGAAAGAGATTGCCACCTTTGAGATTATGATTGTTCAATATTCAGATATATTTCGAGAATTTGTACGCGCCAATAATTTTTATTAAATTAAAACAATATCGAGAATATGGATTGGGATTTTTGTTTGTTAGAGTTCCGTATTCAATTTGGTCTCCTTATCGAATCGATGGCATACACTATAATGCTTGCCATCGTGGTAAGAGGAGTGCAATTACGATTATGAGTTTCGATTTCAGTAATTTCAGTGTCCAAATCAAATCCGCGTAAATGTCGTGACAACCAAATTAGCGTGATTTATGGAAATCTATTGTTATCAGTCAGCAGACACCATAATAATGCTTACTGTACAAAAATGAAAGTCATAGCTATAGAAGTAATAATAATGTTAAAGCCCTCTCATGTGAAATTTGGTTTAGTGCAGATACGCGCCTTGTACCAATACTACATACGCGGATTTGCACCTTCCCCGACGATATTGCATTTTATTAATACATATATTTTCATACATTTATTTTAAATAGGGATAACGAAGAAGAAGGCGGTACCGTCGAAACAACCGAAAAGGGCGAAAAAGATGAAAAGGGCGAAAAGGCTGAGAACGATAAAAATGACAAGAAAGAAGCTTTTAAGCGACCAGTATGGATGAAGCAGCCAAGGCGACAGGCCGGCAAGAAGGGGAAGAAACACGCGCCGGCAAAGCAGGCAGCTAAGCCTGCGCCCGTAGCCAACTCGACGCCTCCGCCAACGGCTAATGACGTTAAGAAAACCAAGGAACCAAAGAAAAAAGACTACGAAGGTGTGTTCATTTTTATTACTTCGAATCGCTAGTTTGCCATAACGTCTAGGACGTGACATAGTCAAACAAGTGTTTGTATTATATTGTATTGTATATATCAGCATCATGCATCACGAATGAGTTGAAAAGCTGGCAGTTGGAATCGACTGCATAGATCAAGTTTTGGTATCGTAAGTGTGTTAGTCACCATGTTAGTCTATGTTATCCCTGTGAGTTTTTTAGTTAATAGTATACATATTTGTCATAAAAAAGCTAATTTACTAGAATTTTTGCTATGATTCAAACTGTGCAACTTTTAGATATGTTAACAGCTTTTAAATATATAATAATAATCTTCAACCAGTGACCGCAGTCTAACCGGGGCTTCCGTTCTTCCAACTGAGCTACAGACCGAGTTAGTCTGACCCAGTCAGATCGAATGAGTTTTCCTTTGTGTTTGTTCGGTCTTCGTATGAATAATAATTACAAACTAGTGGAGTAGTTTCACAAAAATACATGAATATCAAGGTAGTAAAAACATCACGATATTCATTACAAATAAATAATAATAATCTTTCCATTGACCTACCAATAAATGGAAGACGGGTTCGCGCTAAAAAGTGTCCGCACCTATAGAGCGTTAAAATCACATACAGAGCGTTAATCGCGCAACAGTCTTCGTTTGTTCGACTGACAGTGCGGTTGTCAATCATGCAGTACTATATAATAATAATAACTTGTAAAAATTACTGCAGTCAAGTGTGAAGACAGGATTTTGTATTATATTTTTACTAAATAAATATATTATGTTATCATAGTTATCATTTAAAAGTGTTATTTTGAACAGTTGTATATTATTTAATTTATTTAAAAATGAATCGTAAATATAAATTACAAAAGCAAACAAAATAATCAAATTGCTAACAGTCCTTTTTCTACACATTGCATGCGCAAAAGATAGAAAGAGACCCATTACGTCAATTTCAAAAAGCTTATTAATATAAAAACTTCTTGGTTATTTTCAATTGCTCGAATTTTTAAAATGATTTTTTTATAAACGTTACCAATAACTACCAAAATGTTGTTGTACTCGTTTTACGGCTTGAAATTACCTATCAGAATTCAGAAAATTCATTTGCTCGAAATAACGTTAGCTCGAATTTTCATAATGTCCAATGTATTTTTTTAGGAATATTACAATACAAAAGCTAATTTTGTCTTTGTGAAAAGCATCAAAATTACTGACTTGAAAGCGCAAACGGTTTTATTATAAAACCGTAATTGGGTAAAAAAAAAATTTTTCGCAATTACAAAAATTTCAGTTTACGTTTAGTTGGAATATCGGTACATTTCTTAGTACACGCTTATTTTCACATTTATAATATTTGTATGTATGTATCTGCCCAACTCTTTATTTCTTTAAGTGAATTTGTACAAAATTCGACATAATAATATGTAAAAAAATTAATTAATATTTACAATAAAGGCTGCTCTCTCATTACTCTTGTGTTCAAGTAATTTGCAGTCGAAGCTAAATATGGTGTTTTTGGGCCCTTAAATTGTTGCAAGCAGAATTAGGCAGTACTGCAATGACGTTACAATTTAAATTAAATGTTTTAGTTTTTGTTTTATATTTCGTTACATGTCACATTTGTTGTGACTTTGGACTTTTTTTCTTGGTTTTCGTATTAGACCCGACGTCCATTTGTTGGTAGGCCAATGAATCTTACCAATAAAATCTATAACTTTTCGGTCAGATTGTCAACTCTAATAGAATACATAATTATTTGTAAGAATATTCACAAACAAGAAGTAATCGAATCATCTTCCTGGCTCAAGTATTTATCAATTTTCGTAGAACCTTTTAGAAAAGTGGGAAATGTTTGATTTTTATTTTTCTTAACCCAAGTTTTGTTCATAACTAGGTGAAGACTCGGACGTAGGCAGTTCGGATGAGTCGGTCTCGCACTCGTCAGGGTCCGAGGACGAATCTCGCGACAAGTCGTCGGCTCCAGAAGATGACGACGACCAATGGGACAAGTTCCAGAAGCGGCTGCAGAAGCGAGAGCGCCTTGAAGGACGCTCGAAATGCTCGCATCCGGTTCACTGTCCCTTCTTCCCCAGGGTAAGGATTCTATATTTTAGGTACTGAATAAATTAATATTCTAATTATGTTGATCACAGAAAGTCATGATGGTACTCATGTACGGGGATCTCCTACAAAGCGAGAAATATCAGGAACGTATACCATTATTTTTTTATATTATTATTTCTTAAATTTTGTCTAGTATTTAAAATTCAAACAGTTCATCGCGCAAAAGTGTTGCCCGCTTACAAGCAGCTAGTGATTACAGTCGATAAATATTTTATTGATTGTCGACTGAATGTTGGTCACGCTTATGCAATAAATAGCCGACTTTGTTATGTTGAATCTTAATCCCATTATATATCCAACAGCTGGGCACAGGTTATTTGAATTGTCAGTGTTGGTAAGTTCGTACATACATATTGCATTTAGAACTTTCTATTAAAAATACAAAGTGGAGACATATTTTAAAGTTTTTCATTTTAATACATTTTATACGCCAACCTTGCTCAGTGCTACAGCTTTGTGCCTTTTGCGGTTGAAAGACTGGGTCCCTGGGGCCCCAGGCGAAACTTCTAGCGAATGAGCTGTCGGATCGCCTCGTAGAAGCCTCCGGTGACCACAAGACTGACAGTTATTTCCGCCAAAGAATAAATTTAGCAATTCAAAGGGGAAATGTTGCTAGGCACGATGTCCCAGGGTACGGCGCACGATGAAATTTTCTTTTTGTAAACTTTTTTATTTTTTTTATGCATTTACCTGCTACTTTTTACTTTACTGCTATATTTAGGAAAATAAACAATTCATACCATAATAATTATGAATAATTCTATTCAATATAGATAATCGAATCCACCTGTTCTTATTCAAATGTATATGAATAAATATTGATTTCGTTGCAAGTGGGCCAACTGTCAAAATGAGAATAAAGATGGCGATAACGCAATTATTACTAATTGCGCGACAGTCCAATTGGAACTCATTGGAACGTCGCGTCGTAACATTCACAATCTAGTTTTTTTTTCACAATCTACCTTCTTTCATGATCTATCGAAAAAATTGTCCACAACCATTAAAAGACTATTTAAAATTTCACGAAAACTGGCAACCCCCTTTTTTTTTTAAACCCTGCAAATGTCATATTACTCCGTCTCCAAAAAAGACGCACTATAGGTATATCGAAAATGAACTGTTCTATGCAAGGTTAAGTAAGTTTCGATATATTGAAGAATAACACAGGAACAGCCAGGTGAATATTAAGTTTAACAAAGTTTCAGACAGCCTTTGCATCAGATCTGGAGTAAATAAGACAAGACATATTTTGTTCCATCGAATTGGTTTATATTGTAAGGTGCTGCCTCCAACCAAGTGCCCTATTTTGAACAAAATTTCAGACAGCCTTTGCATCAGATCTGGAGTAAATAAGACAAGTCATATTTTGTTCCATCGAATTGGTTTACATTGTAAGATGCTGCTTCCATCCAAGTGCCCTATCTTGTGATGGCTAGTTGGGGATCTTTGAATTTTTTTTTAATTAAAATATTGCTGTGTTGAAACATCATTTAGTCAGATGCGCGATGAAGAGCGAAACTAGTAGGTATCGTGTGCAAATTGTGGCAAATAAAGTGCAGATCTCGGACCTCAGACGATAACGTAATGCTAACATGCGCAAACTGTCGGTATATGGTATAAAATTATTATAATGAAGTTAATATTAAAGGATTTCTATAGATTCCAGTGGCGTCCATATAACTCGATTCCTACCGGCTTGCCTAAAATTTCCCCCGTACCTATTATAGTACCTATTAAAAAACATTTATGCAAAATATTCGCTATTAGACGCGTAATAACTTGTCCCGATGCATCTCAACCAATCAGCGCGAGGTAAGCCGGCGGATCGGCGAGTTCTGTTTCATTCATGAAATTTACACGCTCCCATCAAAATATACGCACACGTTCGCAAAAATCCGCTTTAAAACATATAAAGAAATGGCGGTCGAGAAACCGCAATAATTCGAGTTATTGTCAAATAGTGTACACTTAAATTTAAACCTTATTCCAACACATTATAGTTTAATTTGTTTTAATGTCAGAATCGTTGCCAGATGGTAAAACTTTCTTAAAATAATGTAACAAAATTATTATAATAGCAAATTACAATAATTTATATATATCTTAACGATAAATAGTGTTACATATGTATCTATATTTAACGGAGTGTTTCTTTCTAATAGGACTGCGTAACGAATGTATAGAAGATCATGGTAATTCGTAGGTAATTAAAATAGGAACACTTAGCATTCATGTGTTTGTTTACATACTTTCGTATCGCGACGGGCAGCATAAAATGTAAAATTACTTTAAAAGCTATGGTTAGTTTATGTGTAGAATAAGTTATCCTGTGAAATGAAGTGAACTACTATCTTGTGTCCTAATATGTGTTGTGTTCAAATGTCGCCAAGCGCCTTTTTAACGGGAAAATAAATTTTTGTTAAAGTGTTTTTTGTTTTTTGAAAAAGTTATAGCTTCGGCTTTAGCAACGAAAATTTTCACGCCTCGCCACTGATAGATTCTTAAAAAAAAATATTACGAATTGTGTGATTGTCTATTATCTACGTCTAGCAACTTGCTTGCTATCAAATAAGGTCGACTTGAGATATTCTTGTGCAGTTATTTTATTACAAAATGGATTATATACTTTTCTAAAAAAAATCAGTAGATTTTCAACCAAAACGTAAGTTATGGTAAGTCAAAATAACATTTTTTGCTTTTTGACTTAAATATATCCTTTTTGGGTATATTATAGGTACCATATTTTGAAAGTCAACAGCGATTTCTTTAATTTTAAATGTGGGATTTATAATATGCATAAAAAGTATAATATATTTGACTAAAAAAGAAAATTTTTGGTATTTTGATTTACAACAACTTGGGAGGTATAGACTATCGCTTTTCATCTTCATTATTTTAATAATAGTAATGATTTTTTTGCGAAAATATTAAATATATTTACTTACTAAACGAGTTAGTAACGATGTGCTACAGTTTCGATTTGCGTTATAGAAAGAACATGTTTTGATTTGCCATAATTCTAAATATTCGATTCGCCACATTTTAGCGAGACTACCCAATTCGATTTAATTGTATTTTTATATTAATTTTATTGATCATACATAAATAGAAATAGAAACACTTTTCTTATTTAACGAAAAACATAAAATAAACAACTAAACATTATTCCTTAGAAATTTATACATTTTCAAAAGGTAGCAAATTGACACTCGTTGTTGGCATATAAATATTGTTCACCGTAAACGATAATGTTTAATAATGACATTTTTATAAAACAACCCCTAAGAGAGAATGAATGGTGATTGTATAAATGTCTTTTTACAAAGAGCAACTCCTACAGCTCCTTACTCAAGCCTCTCAGGAATCTGCCTTGCATTTGAATAGTAGGAGTATAATCAATGTGACGACTTCATGTGACATTGAGATATATTTGAATTTGAATTAAATTGATATTAAACAAAACGTTTCAGGTTTTTGAGCGAAACAGTTTTACGTACTCGGATCACTGGCCATGACATGAGCGTCTGGCATGGTTTGCTGGGAGACGTCTCACAGTGGGCCCAAATTGATAATTCTTGGACATAGGAATAACTTGTGGAGTATCGAGCAAATTTTTTTTTATATGATAAATAATAACATTCCTAACAACTTTTATTCTTGTATAATCTCTTGAAAACTTGATAGTTGCGGAGAAAAAAAAATTTTTTGTATGGAGAAATATATATTTTTTTTATTTCAAAATATACGTAAATGTAATGTGCGTGGGTTACTTACAGTCCAGTTCCAATAATTTTCAAGGAATACAGAGCTGATTTTTTTCATATGATAAATAATAACATTCCTGATAACTTTTACTCTTATGTAATTTCTTGAAAAGCTGATTGTTTCAGTGAAAAAAATTATTCGTTTTTTTTTTGTTTGGAGAAATAGACATTTAATTTTTTATCTCGAAATGTAGGAAAATGTAATGTGTGTGGTTTATTATCAGTATAGGTTCAGTCATTCTCTATCAAGAAAAAAATAATCTATCTGCAGCCGTACGGCTTTACGAGTAAAAAGGTGTCAAAATTTTAAATTTGTTATTTATTTTTTAACGCAATATACTAGTGATACGTTCTTAGTGATCATCACTAATATCAGGTTTCTTACCACGGTATGACTTTTTTTTATTTTCCCGATATTTCGGAACGGTTGCACGCTCCATGGTCACGGGTTGACTGGACGTCGGCAGATGACAGCTTTAAGAGCAGACATATCTGTCTACCCTCTTGCGCTGTCGACGACTACCTTTACATTTTCGTACGCACGCACATTACATTTTCGTAATTTTGAGATAAAAAATAAAATGTATATTTCTCAATATAAAAAAAAAAATTTTCTCCGAAACTATCAACTTTTCAAGAAATTATACAAGAATAAAAGTTATTAGGAATGTTATTATAAATCACATAAAAAAAAATTTGCTCGATACTCCACAAGTTATTCCTATGTCCAAATATTATCAATTTGTGCCCATTGTGCGACGTCTCCCAGCAAACCGTGCCAGACGCTATGCCAATTAAGCCACGGAACGAACCAGCGTACCTCACAAATTTTTCTTGTGCTTGTTGTTGAATATTTGTATTGGGTTTTCAACGACTTTTTAGCCGTAGCGCCATCTATGAGAAATCTATGATTACTATGTTTTGTAAAAAGTAATGTAACAAAAGTTATTGTTTATGATGTTAGTGATATAGACCTGGGAGGGTGTTAGTATTTTACAAATAACCCTATTGACTGTAAAAGTAGTTACACAAGCCGACTTTTAGCGACTAAATGCGCGACTGCATCGATGCAAAATCCCTTATAAATGGCAAGTGTAGCGATTGCACATGTGTGTAAAGGTAGACGATTGGCGACTGCATCGATACTGTGTCGCGTTTGCATCGCTTCTAACAGTCGCCGTGTGTAACCGCTTTAAGATGTAAGAAGGTCTTCTGGTACTTAGTATGAGAGGGTTGTTCATATTGCAATGCCTGTATTAGATGAAAGGTTTTGTGTGGTAGGACAAACAGGAGTACTGGTGGTGCTACATTTGCGACCGCAAGTCGCACACGCTACTTACCGCACCGGCGCACGTGACGGCGTTGGTGGACACGCACGAGCTGCAGTTGCGATTCACAGCGCCACGCTGGCCCGGCGTCTACACGCTGGCTTGCTGTCTGCGGTCCGGTTAGTACCACCGCTCTGCGTTCGAATCTACCACAAATATCTGGCCATTTAACTGAAATTAACCTTGTGTCGTAGTGAATTTACAATACACTTTTCAGATTTTAGTTTCAATGAAAATGGCATCTGACGTTCGT